TTTCTTCTTCTCTTCTCCTCTCCCACAAGTTGTGTCCACACCAGACCTACATTGCTAGAATCTCCACTACTCCATCCCTTCCACTGTACTTATACACTTACTTACAACTCACCTTATGTTACACATAAAATACCTGCCCATTTCACAAAATAAAGATGTTTTAATGTTATCATGGTAGTTCTCAAGTTTCTTGACAGTCTTTGATGAATTATCAAGTACAGAAGTTTAAAAAGCATTGATTTAGTTTCATTTTCTACCTTTTTACTGTGCTAACACTAACCCCTTAGAAATTTTCCAATCTCTATCAGTAGAATGCATTCTTATCCAACAACCTTATCCACCAATTGTCTTTCTTTTTTAAAAAAATATATTTTATTGATTTTTTACAGAAAGGAATGGAGAGGTCAGTAGGACATCCCCTGAGGGCTCCCAGACTGTGAGAGAGGGCAGGCTGGGCTAAGGGACCCCCCACTCCCCAGTGCACGAATTTCATGCACCAGGCCTCTAGTTTCATTATAAAGATTAAGTAAAATTATTAATGTGAAATGCAAAGCTTAGGGCCCACCGAGCAAATGGTAGATGCTCAAGAGATATTTTATTATTTCCTTTCCCCACTTTTGCACATGTGCATCCCAGTATTATTGATAAGGAAGGAAAAACATTTCTTAAAACTCCTTTTCTGTTTATATGCACAGTGAGTACTTCAAGACCAAGGAAGAACAAAACATTCCACCTTGACTGAAATGCTGTAGAGGGGTAAGTCCGTAATTGGATCTCAAATGTAAATCCCTGAGCTTAGATAACAATGGCAGCACAAAATCCTGATGCTCTGTGACTGCTGACATTAGGAAGGGTGAGAAAGCACCCTCAACCCCTCTAGTCTGTGTGACACAGCAAAAAGCTAGAGACCACAGCAAAACATGAGTCTCAGCAGGAACTACCCCCTGTAGGCCTTCGCTTGCCCAGGGCCTAGAATCACATTACATGTGACTCCACTGGACAAATGCCCAGCAAGCACTGAAGATAATTCCATTTGGTGAGGGCTTTTCTGAAACAAGAACAAGTCCAAGAAGAAAACTCTTGAGATTTTCTTTTAACTGAATGTAAAGGCATTCCATGGACACCCTTTAAGAATGGAAGCTCCAGTCTCTAAGACATCATCTGGGCCATGTTTGTCCATCAGTATCTCAACTCCGCTGATTGAAGAAGGGTGGGTTCATTTTAATGCAAAAGCAAATGAGGCCCTTTTCTATCAGACCCCTGATATTACAGTCATGGTTTCCACTTGATGTTATTTATGCTTTTGGCCACTGAACTCAGACAGAATAAGCAAGCTGCTCATTTTACAAGCCAGTGAACATGGCATAAACAGTTCTGATTTCAGGGCCTTAATGACTGTGAGGAATCTTGACTGATAACCGAGGGTAGGAAGAACTTCAGATACTAATCATCTCATCACCCCAGACCCATGTTGGTCTGCATTTGCAATGAAAATTTAAGCTACTGCTTCTAGACAAATGCCGATGCATTTTAAACATTTTCTAGATGGCTAATGTTACTAATATGCTATATAATGGAAACCTCAAATATAAAAAACATTACATCTATATTTTTGCTATCTGCATGTATATATATGCAAACTACCGACTAACAAGTTTTTTGAGATACCAGCTGTCTCTCAGCTGATTTTTTGCATTGAGTTGATAGAGTAATTTGAGTTAACGAGCTCCTTAACGAGCTCCTTAACGAGCTTCTTAACAAGCTCCTTAACGAGCTCGGTCTAGGAACAAATTAAACTCGTAAGTCAAGGCCCCACTGTATTTTCTTTGCTATCTGCATGTATATATATGCAAACTGTGAAGATCCAGCTACCAATCCCAAGTGAGGACGTCCTCTGAATGAGAGACAACACAGATCATAACCCTGCCAATCAGCAGGCACAGGAGCCCACAGACCTGGCCCACTGCATCCCACGTGCTCAGAGTGACTTGGAGGATGCCACACACAGGCACTAGTTAGCACAACGCTTTTCTCATAGAAAGGAAAGGGGACACAGGAAGATCAGTGTCTCCAGTGTGGCCAGGTCTCTCATGGAACTGCTCCCCCCTACAACCAACACAGGAGGTGAGACTGCACATACCCCTCTCCAAAGTGAATGAAGACCCATTCCTGTCCTTCCAGAACAAGTGCCATATGGGCACACATTTAAGCACATAAGGGAGTTCACTGCACAAGCAGAATGGAGGACAGGTCTGGCCTAATACAAAAGAAGAAGCTGGAACCAAGCTGCAGCTCAACACCCAGCATCCATATAAGGGAATGTTCCAGACCCAGGGCACTGTATATCCATACAATGGAATACTATTTGTCCAAGTAAAAAGTGACATACCACTCATGCTACCACAGACCTTGAAAACAATGTTCTAAGTGAAAGAAGCCAGACAAAGACCACATCTATATTAATAAAAGGCCTGTGGCCGTGACGCCATAATGCCGTCACGGCCAAACAAGCAGCAGCTCTCAAGGCAGGCGGGGCAGGCGCAAGCTACTAGCAGCAGAAAACCAATCGCAGCGAGGGTGGGGCGTGAGCTACCAGTGGTGTGGGCAGGGCGGCCAGCTGAGGCAAGCAGAAGTTACTACTCTTGCACGATTTTGTGTGCGCTGGGCCTCTAGTATTATATGATTCTATTTATAGTCAATATCCAGAATAGGCACGTTCATAGGCTTAGAAAGGTAGTGTTACTAGGCACTGGTGGGAGGAGACAATGGAGAATGATGGATGATGCATACATGTTTCTTCTGGGGGTGAGGAAAATGTTCTGGATTTAATGGTGATGGCTGCACATTTTTGTTAATACAAAACCCCACTGAATTGTATAGACTTTTAAGGGGTAAATTTTATAGTATGTGATTTATCTCATAAAATAGTTGTTACCTTAAATTTTTTTAGTGGTAGGAATGAAGTAATACTAACATTTATTGAGCATATACTATGTGCCAGTTACTATACTAATACATTCTTTACATTGATTGCCTCATTTAATTTGAAAATGACTACTTGAGACGGGTGCTTTTTTAATCCCCATTTTATAGTTTGAGGACCTGCATTTTTGAGAAATTAAGAAACTTTCCCAGGGCCAATCAGCTGGCAAATAGCAGCGCCAGGGTTCCAACTCTGGTCCTCTGAGTCTGGAATCTACACTCTTCACACCACGCAGCATCTCCAGGAGTAGACCCCTGGGAAAGCCTGAAGCACAGTGGGTGATGACTTCTGTGTGTCTGTGTGTTCCAGGGATGGTAGTAAACAGGAAGAATGCAGCTGCTAGTGTCCAGCTGCAGCTCCCTTTCCTCTGGGCTTAAAATAACTCTGACTAAAGAGGTTATCAGACAAGTCACCATTTTATAAAGTGCTAAGCTTTTCCTCAAACCCCTGGGGTTGGAGGTGGCGGCAGGGAATCAGGCCAGCAAGAATTATGAGACATTAGGACCATTCTAGGTAAACATATCTTAAAATCTAGAGAAGTCCAAGCCAAAATAGGTCAGCCCACTGACAGTAGTTTTGTGTTTTATATTGTGAAATATTTTGAGGATTCTTTGCTTTGTAAACAAGTCAAAAATAAAATGGCATGTAAAAATTTCTCAGAAAACATTTTTGACAATCATAATAAATGTGTAATCCAGAAATTGAGAGGGGACTAAACTGCATTTTCATACATGGCATATATGAAGGAATAAGTAGGAACAATTACGGAAGGGAGGATATTCTGCATTAGGGACTTCGATGTATTAATATAAAAGTTTGACATAGAAAACAGAACAGACAACATGTAATTGTAATTCTAAATCATGTATAAACAGTTTAATGTTTCCAACATGCATTTTTGTTGAATATTATAAGCTTATTTTGGTGCTATACAAAAATCGCAGAGCTGCTTACTTTTCAATGGTTTATCTAGATATATTTGTATGCACCACTCCTCATTAAGTAGCTGTCAAAACTGGAGAAGGAAAAGTCTGCAGGTTGGCGGAGAGGAATGAATCAGTTGAGTCTTATGCTACTAATTTGGCAACAAGCCCTGAGTTGTTATTTGGCCAGTGAGTAATCAATCGTGTGTCAAGCAATCAACAATTTTCTGGGCATCTATTATTGCATCATTAAAAAAATCCAATTACTACACTTGGCAATAATTCTTTTGTCTGCTTCCAGCCCCTGCTACAAGTATAACTTGAATGTCTAGTGTCCCCTTGGGAGAGTCTTTGAGGGTGTTTTAATCTTCATCTAGTGGTAGTGAATAGGTCCACTATTTCCTGAAATTCAGGTGAATAACTTTGTAATCTTTAACATTTTCCTTATCATGTCTATAAAATATAGGTAGTGTACTAATTATACCTTGGAATGAATTCTGAATGTGTTTACAGGAAATATTTCCAGTTTTCTTACTCTTGTCATCATGCTTAAATATCTCTCCATCTGCTCCCAAATTTGTTTCTTTCTTTCTTTCATCAACCATATAGTCTAAGTTACTGCTCTACCACTTTGGCACAATCCAGATAAATAGTATCCTAAGCAATATTTCTTCTCCTGGCAGATATCCTGGAAAGTAATATAATTTGTTCTTTTTTCCCCCTAATTGATCTAATCTTACCAAATACCCTCATTATCAGCAATTGTTTATGAGCATATACTGTATGCAAAGAACTACATGGTGCTCATTCTTGGTAGAGTATCTGGTACTAGCACGTATTTTCCAGAGACGTATAATTGTGTTCCCTGGCTGAGTCTCCACTAAGTTAAAGGTAAGTCCTCCTCTTCCACAAATGAAGATCCCTGGGCTGTTACACATTTTCTTTGAAGGAGCAGATGACGCTCCTCTTTGCATATTGTGCTTCCTGGGATATCCCCAGAACCTAATGGGATTCCCATGCATCAAGCTGACATGGCCAGTTTAGTTGGTAGTTGTAGTTCTGTTGTGGCTTGTTTGCATCACCCTTTCACTTACCATCAGCATCATATCCATCTCTGCAAGTGAGGCCATAGCTGCTAGCAGTGTCCTGCCTCTTTCTACAACCCCTACACACATTGGGGAGAAGGACAGAAAGAAGCTTACTCTACTAATATAAATAAATTGGCTGATATCCAACCAACATTACCAGTACAAGATGGTACATCCTGATTTATTTCCCCTCAGATCTTGGTTGCTCCCTAAAACATTCTCTGGTAATTGAGGGCCAGCATTCATCCAGTGCCCCTCAGACTTGATAGAGAGTTTAATTCTAAATGTTGGTTATGATCTCTAATGTATTTCATCTTGTGTCTCACAGAAGATTTATCAGATTTCATAAAAATATAATCTCTATTAACCGATCCTAACAAAGAATAATGTCTGTTACACTTCCTGAAATTCTCTATTCATACAATAATTAAATCTATAGTTGCTTCCTTCAAAGAGTTTAGAGGTTAAAAGAAAGAAATCATACAGGGTGAGAATGGGTAGTTTGTCTGCAGAGCTGATTTTTTAAAATAAGCCTTCTAATTCAATATTGGGCATAAAAGTATTATAGGGACCACTGACTCAGTCATCAGTTTGAATACTTATTATGTATATCCTATTACTACAAAAGGAAATCTACCAGTAATCAGAATGCTTTCAGAGTATGAGAGCATCAAGTAATTTGTCTTTTATGAGATATAGAAATTTGTTTAAGTAGACATTGGTGTGTGAATGACTTCACTTCAAAGGCATCCTAATTGGAAAGGAAGAAGTAAAATTGTCACTATCTGTAGAGGTCTTACTATTATATGGAAAATTCTAAAGACTTTATCATAAAACTGTTAAAAATAAAAAAAAATCAGTATATATTACTGGCATAAAAACAAGACACATAGGCCAACGTAACAAACTATCGAGGCCAAAAATAATTCCATGCATGTACAGCCAATTAGTCTTGACAAGGGTGCCAAAAATATAAATAGGCAAAGGAGATGACAAGAATATTGGAATTACCAAATGAGAAATTAAAAACAGCTATGATCACAGAGAGATGAGATTCTAGGAATGAACCAAAAAGAAATGCTATAGGTCAAAAACTCTGTAACATAATAAAGAATGTGTTTATTGGGCTTACAAGTAGACTGAATATGGCTGAGGAAAGAATATCTAAGCTTGAGGTTATCTCAATAGAAACTTCCAAAATTGAAAAGCAAAGGGAAAAAAGAATGAAGAGAAAGAAAAAGAAAAAGAATAGAATATCCATGAACTGTGATTCATCTACAAAAGACATGACATACACCTAAATGGGAATACCTAAAGAAGAAATTAAGAAAAGATCAGAATATTTGAAAACATAATGATGAAGAACTTTCCCCAAGTATTTGCATATGTCAAACTAAAGATCCAGGAAGCTCAGAGAGTACATTGTAGTATAAATGCCAGAAAACCTACATGTAGATGTATAATTTTCAAAATACAGAAAATCAAAGAGCAGAAAAAAAAATCTGAAAGAAGGCAGGGATGAGGGCAGGAATCAAAACAAATCACCTAAAAAATAAACAAACAAACAAACAAATAAAAACACCTCACCTAAAGATAAGAACCACATCTGACTTCTATTGAGAAACCATACAAGCAAGGAGAAAGTAGAGTGCAATATTTAAAGTGTTGAAAGAAAAAATACCCACCAACATAGAATTTTTTTACCCTGCAAAGTTAACCATCAGAAGTGAAGAAGAATAAAGACTGCCAACAAACAAATATTGAGAGAATCTGTTACCAATAGACCTTCCTTGCAATAAATGTCAGAAGAAGTTCTTTAGAGAGAAGGAAAATGACATAGGCCAGAAACTTGGATCTACATAAATAAAGAGCATTGAAAAAGGACTGAGCGCAGTTGAGAAAATTGAGGCTCAGACAGGTTGCCCAGCTAATAAAACAATGCAGTCCAAAGTCAAATGCAATCGCTCTGGTTTGAAAAACTGCTTTCTTTTCACTATCTCAGACTGGTCCAAAGGAAGGAGTCTTAGGGCACAGCTATGCGTAGAAGACAAAAGAAAACGTCACTGTATAGAAGAATTTTCAACGGGTGTGATGTTATGGAGGCCAAGAAAAGATAAAGTTTCAAGATGGTTGAACTCGAAAATAGTGCTAGATACTGTCAAAAAGTAAAGAGAATGAGAGCTGAGAGAGGCCACTAGATTTGGCGACCAACTGTGGACTAGTAACTGTGGACAGCTGGGGAGTGGGGGGCGGTGTTGGTGAAGATAAAGGTGCCTTGAGCAGGTAGAAGACCTCATCATCTCCTGCCCTGAGATGGGACTGATACAGAAATTCCGGCCAGGACAATCCAGTTCAACCAGTATCTGATGGTCACGGCACATGGCTAATCAGCAAAGCAAAAGCCTTGTTCTCAAGCAACATACAACTTAATTGGGCATACCCATTTTGAATATGAAGATAACCAGAGAACACAGACTGCAGGGGAATAAACTAAGGCCTCTTCCCTTCCATTCCACTTCTGCCTTGGACCTGCCTCCTTTCCTCTGTGGCTGGACAGGTGAGGACAACAGAAATCCACCGCTGGATTCACCTCAAGCTTCGGTGCCCATTGCCAGAAGAGCATTCAGCTGCCACAGCGCCTGACATGTCAGCATTATCATCCGTTTCTTTGATTAAGAACTTAGGCAAAGGCTACCATTGACATCCCTTCATCTCCTCACTGAATTTCATAAGACTTTGCTACTACCTAAATGATGGGAGGAAAAAAGATCAGCCAAAATTTTTGAGATGATAGCATATTTTAATGCAGGAAAATATATCAGCATTTTTTGCTACTGAATATATCTATTTTATACATGGACTAGAGGCCCAATGCATGAAACTCGTGCAAGAGCAGGCCTTCACAGCTGTGGCGGCTGCCTGGATCCCTCCCTCGCAGCCGGGGCAGCTGCCTTGATCCTGTGGCTGCAGCCCCAGCTTTGTCTGAAAGGTCCTCTGGTCTAATTAGTGTATCACGCTTTTATTATTATAGATGAGTACTTTTTAACTCAAAAGTTTCAGGTAGTATTGAATAGTCCTGAGAAGAATATCTTTTTTGCTACTGAGTGTATTTTTAACATCTGTATAATTAGAAACTTTAAATTCAAATGTCTCCAGCAATAATAGAAAACTTCTATTATACAAATGGTAGTAGCAGCATGATAACACTGATGATTTACAATTCAAAAGAAAGAGAAGACGTCTATCTTCATAAAAGGAGATATAATAGAACTTCTAACCTCCATATAATTTCCCCCCAAAGACACATCAAATTAATAATTTGTATAATACTTCATTTGATTCCCTAAGGTTTTCTCAAGAGTGGAACAGTGCAAATTTCTCCACAAAGGAAAAGAACCATGCCATCAATGCTTTTATCTATAAATGTTTTGAATATGCATAATTACCCAGTGTCTTATAAACCTGCATTAACAGGGGACTAAGTATTCTATACTTAGGATCTAGAATACACATCGATGTTTCTCTCTGTCTTTCCCTCTCTCTTCCACTCTCCCTAAAAATCAATAGAAAAATATCCTGAGATGAGGGTTAACAAAACAACAACAAACACAAAAAATAAAAAGCATTGGGTACTGTAGGATCATTCTCTATAATCTACCAGTGAGGATGCCCAACTGGATGCTCCAAAATTGTTGGTAGGAATGCAAACTGGAAAACAGTTAGGAAGCTTCAAAGAAAGTTAAACACACATTTATCATATGTGCCAGGAAATCCACTTTCAGATATTTATTTATTTATTTAGAATACACTTTTCAAGAATTATTTATTTATTTATTTATTTATTTAGAATACACTTTTCAAGAATTATTCTTGTAGTATGAATCAATACCTCATTTCATTTTATGAGAAATTGACACTTATGGATACACTAAAATCCAAGTGTAAATGTGTATAGAAACTTTGTTCATAATCATCAGAAATTGGAAACCAACTAAACATCTCTTAACGGGTAAAAAATACTTTATTGTTAATCATAGGTTGTTTATAGATGATCTTTGTGTGATTGATAATGTTCCCTTATATTCCTATCTTGTTGAGAGTATTTATAATAAATGGGGATTAATTTTTCTATTGAAATGATCACACGGTTTTACTTCTCTAATATATTGATATGGCAAATTACATTGATTTTTCAACTGTTAAATGAAACTTTCATGTACATTTTAGGAAGATTAATTTATCAGGGTTATAAAGAATAGACGATAGGAAAGATGGACTAGGCTAGAGGGTGAGGATCATATTTGGAAGCGGTTTCAGCAATCTGGTCATTAGGTGATGAGGGTCTTTAACAGTGCCCAGACATGCTCACCTCATGCCCTCTACACTACTTCCTCACACTGTTTTCAACATAACTGCATTTGGTGACAAGGCATTGAAAATGCTACACATCCAGGCTTGCAAAGATTCTGTTATTATCTCAAAGGGTTTTCCCACCACAATTAAGAAGCTTGGCTTACAAAATCCCATGTTAAGTCAATTTCTGAAACTTAAAGTAACTTTTTTAACTGAGGACATTTTATTTTATTTTATTTTATTGAAAATGCCATTCTCCTTTAACTGAGGACATTTTAGCACCTTCATATATTAACGTTTGCTAATAAATGTATTTTTATGTCTGTGTGTAAAATATCTCAAGATGCAGGAGCTGCTCTTTTGTGCTCCTGGACACCTCCCATTCCACAGGAAATCAACTGCCTGAGACATTTTGTTTAGATAAACTAGTTTCATGTCAAGTATATTAATAATTAATTAGAAAAAAAATCCAAGTGTCTATTTAAAATGCAAAAATATGTAAAGGAGCAGACCTCAGAAGCTTAATCTTATGTTAGCAGAGTCTGTCAGGAATATTCAGATACTAACATTTTGAAACATATCATTATCAAAATTAAACATAAAAGTAATAGATATAGAGAAACATTAAATCATCACAATGATCTAACATATTTCTTGCTAATTTACTGTTCCTTAAATTAGATACTTCATCACTAAAATTCACAGCAATGCATAGGATTAATAAAATTGATAGGGTTACTACCGGGATATGCTTTTTTTATTTTATACTAGAGGCCCAATGCACAAAATTCATGCAAGGGCCTTGGCCCCGGCCCCCGCCAGCAGCCACAGCGGCCAGGGGCCTCTGCCACCTCTGCTGCAGCCCCTGCCTGCTGCAGCTTTGTCTGGAAGGACGTCCGGTCTAATTAGCATATTATGCTTTTATTATTATATATTACAAATATTAAATAAGTAACAATGGTATACATGTTTCACTCCATTACACTAAAACTATTAGTATGGAGAGAAGATAGAGGAAAATGTATCCTACATGGTTTTGCATAGAATGTTAAAATAGTAAAATTTATACTGAGCTTAAATAGTGTCACTGAAGATAAAACCACACTCTACATGTGGGATTATGTGTTCAATTTGGGCCCTTGTCAGGAACTAACTAAATCTTTCTTTCTTTCAAAAGACCATAATAAAATGTTTCTCTTTATCCATGTAATTCAGAGAGATCATAAGAAGGATAAAGCATGCCATAGAGACTTATATAATTCTTGGCATTATAAACTTTTTAAAAAGAACATTTTTCAGAGCATACTAGAAACCAGCAACGTTTCCCTAATGTGGAACTTAACTACTTTGAAGAAATGCCAAGGGACTAACATAAGGACGGATGGGGCTTTCCTTATGTACCAAGTCTCTCACAGCATCAATTTATAATAGAAGTATATCTGAAAGAAAGACTTCCATAAATGGTGATAGTTTTATGTTTCAAGGCATGGAGGGATATTTAAATACACACAAAAAAAATGGTAGATGAGCAAGAAGAGCTTGGAGGTATGATTCATTTACCATAAAATTCAACTCTTTAAAGTGTATAATTCAGTGCTTTTCTGTGTATTCATGCAACCATCACTACTACCTAATCCCAGAACATTTTCATCATCCCCAAAAGAAAGCCCATACTATTAGTCACTCCCATTTGCCCCTCCACCAGCCCCAGAAACCAGTAATCTTTCTGTTCCTTTCTGCCTCTGGATTTTCCTCTTCTTGATACTGCAAGTCAGTGGAATAGCACTGCATGTGGTTTTTTTGTCTTAGGTTTAATTTAGAATACACTTTTCAAGAATTATTCTTGTAGTATGAATCAATACCTCATTTCATTTTATGACTGGATATTATATAGTATGGTTATACTAGATTTTGTTTATTCATTCATCTGTTGAACATTTGAGTTGTTTTCATTTTGGGGGCTTATGAGTGAGCCTGCTATGGACATGCGTGCATTCATTTTTATACATGTTCTGTGTAAATATATGCTTTCAATTTTCTTGGGTATATACCGAAGTGTGGAATTTCTGGGACATGTGATTACTCTATATTTAAACCTGTGAGGAACTTGGAGACTGTTTTCCAAAGGAGTAGCACAATTTGCCATTCCAACTAGCAAAGGATGAGGGTTCCAATTTCTCTGTATCTTCTCCAAATGTGTTATTTTCTGTCTTTTTAGTTATAGCTATCCTAGTGGGAGTGAAGTTAGCATCTCAATGCAGTTGCAATTTGCTTTCCCCCAATGAAAAGTGATGTTGAGCATCTCCTCACATATTTTTTGACCATTTGTATATATTCCGTAGAGATATGGCTGTTTAAATCCTTTGCCTTTTTTTAACATGCGTTTCCTTCACTATATTACAAAATGCATTTCCTTTATTATATTACACAAGTGAAATACATAAGTATGATTTAAAAAAAAATAAAATCAACTTTCTGGTTGTAAATGAGGTGACAAGGAGATATTCTGCTAGCAAGCTGCAGTTCAATCACTGACCACATGATTTAACCAAAGCATCTAGTTTGGAAAGATAAACTAATAAAACCTCTTCATTTTTCTACTCATCATGTTAAAATTTGAGTGAACTCCAGCAAAACATTTTCTTTTCCTTTTCCATCTATGTCATTATCTTCTAAATACAATTTCACTAACCAAGGACTAGCTTCAGTCAAACCTATAATTTTTTTTCTTGATACCTACAAGAAAATGAGAGTATTTTATTATTTTTAGACAATAGTTACTCCTTTGCCCATTTTTAAATTGGGTTGTTTGTCATTTTGTTTTTTATTTATGACTGCTCTTCCTATATGCTGAACATTACCTTCATCACATATATGCTTTGCAAATATTTTCTCCCACTATGTCAACTGTCTTTACACTTCATTGATAGTATCCTTTAAAGCACAAAATATTTAATTTTGATAAAATCCAATGTATCCACTTTTTCTTCAGTTGCTTGTACTTCATTATTATCTAAGAATGCCTAACCTAACAAAGATAATGAAGATGTACACCTTTGCTTTCTTGCAAGAATATTATAGCTTTGACATGTACATTTAAACCTTCGATCCATTTCAAGCTATTTTTTATGCATATGAAAATCCAGTTGTCCCAGAAACTTTTGCAAAAAATAGAAAGAAGAACAATTCTTCCCTCCACTAAAATGCTTTGGTATCTGTTGAAAGACCATTAAAGTGTGGATTGTCAATTCTATTCCATTGGTATCTACATTTATTTGTATGGTAGCACCATATGATTTTGAATACTTTTAAAAGTCTTGGTAGTTTGATGTTAAATTTTGAATTGGGAAATGTGAACCCTACAACTTTAAATTTCTTCAAGATTGTATTGGCTCTTCTGGTTCTCTTGAACTTCCACATCAATTTTAGAATCAGCTTGTCAATGTCTGGAACAAAAATGCTAGGATTTGGAGATGGATTGTTTGAATCTGTAGATAAATTTGAGTAATATTGCCATATTAACAATGTTAAGTCTTCTAGTACTTAAAAACATATATTTCTTTTTATTTCAATCATCTTTAATTTTTAACAATGTTTTTATAATGTTCAGTGTACAAATTTTGAACATCTTTCATTACATTAATTTTTATGTATTTTATTTTTAATGGTATTGCAGTTGAAATTGTTTTCCTAATTTTATTTTTGGGTTATTCATTGATATATAGATAGAAATACAATTGATTTTTGTATATCAATTTCTGTTCTATAATCTTGAATTTGTTTATCATCTCTAAAAATGTTTGGGTTGTCCTTAGGATTTTCCATATACAAAATCATGTCACTTGCAAATAAACAGAAATTAACATTTTCCATTCCAATATGCTTCTTTTTCCCATAATATTTCTCATAAAATCTATAGTATAATGTTGAATAGAAAAGGTGGGAGTGAATATCTTCAGTTTTTCTAATCTTAGGGGGAAAGCATCATTCATAGTCTCACCATGAATTTTTATGTTAGCTGAGTTTTCATAGATTTCTGTCATGGACTAATGTTTCTATCTCACCAAACCCATATATTGAAATTCTAACCCCCAATGTGATGGTGTTAAGTGGTGTCAGAAGTAAAGAAAGAAATTCACAGTTTAACTAAAAATATTTGTTGACTTGAATACTCCACTTTAAATAATAAATGGAACTATAGAGAAAATCAACATGGAAATAAAAGACATGAATAACACTATAAACCAACAAATAAAATAGAATATCAGAATCCTAATTATAGAAAAGACATTGTTTCAGGGATAAGGCTGTATTCCTTGCTAAATCTTAAGAACTGTGCTCATTTCTGGGCTTCTCATTTGAAGTGGTATATTGGACCAAGTCCCAAAGAGAATAACCAGAAATGAGGTTTCATTAAGTGAGGCAAAGTTGAAATGATGACTAATTTTAACTGTATAGATGACAGAGGACTTAATCAGAAATCTGGTAGTTTTCTTCAAATATATGAAAGACTATTGTATGGAATATTGATTGTGCTTATACTGATTAGCACAGGAAGTAGGTGTTTCATCATTAATAGCTATCAACTCAATTTACAGAATAATATTCAAAGATGAAATAGGAATGTATAGGAGATAGCAATTATTCAACCTATTATAGCAACAAATATAGGGTAGAAAGGTACAAGTAGAGATTTAAGAAACTGATGGGATTTTAATCTAGAGGTTCTTTCTAATCTTGATATTTTTATTCTATTGTTCTAAGATTATCTCTGATATAAATTTTTGACCTTCCAGGTACCCTGGCTTTCTACTATATGACTATTAGGATTAGATATAGTGGGACTCAAAGGCTGCAAATAATTATAAAGATCCAGGTAAGTGTACTATAGTTATTTAGTTAAAAGTTTCCATCATAGGGAAAAATGACATTTTTATTCTCTTATGTGTATTCAAAGAGTCCATTTTTTAAAAAAGAAGTGGTGCCATTTATGTATTTTCCTAAACAGAAAAGTATCTAGAGAATAATATAGGTCTCTCTCCTAATAACACTTTAGTGAAGAATTTCCTTTATTTTTCATCTTCATTAAAATAAAATACATGTTGGTACTGATTTAAGGTTTGAAAGGAATTTCATGGTAACAATTTTATAACCAACAGTTTATGATAGAGTCTTCAATTGTTTTGTGGTCTTCCCAAAAGTTCAGAATATTTTACTACATAGAAGGTAAAGAAAAATAGGAGGAAGAAAACGTTTGGCTGATGGTTGGTGACTCTGATACATTTCATAGAGTCGAGTATACATTTAAAGCCTTGGTTATATCCTTAGCCCTTTCTGAGAAAATGGTTTTCACAACCACAATTTTGGCAGATGTCTTCCTGTTGTGGGGATCGGGAGTAAAACAAATGTTTACTGTTGTACTCTGTCTGGCCAGAAAAATTATCATAACAGAAAATACCCCCTTTTCAGTAAACATTTTACTCATGAAATACAAAAACTAAACAACATGTTGTTCTATTTCCCGAAATGATGCCCTAACAAACAAAACAGTTGCAGACAACAATGTGGTCACAGATGTGAAACCGTAAGAAAAACAAAAACAAAACTGGAACACAGTAAGTCAGTGCATTCACACATGCAGCAAGATTCTCCTGTAGTTTAAGGGGGTGGGGATTATACTTTGTGGTGATTTTCTTTATGACACACATTTACAGGGCAAAACTTTCTCAACTGAAATCCTTGGTTATATTACATTTGTTAAATTTTACTTTAGAATCTACCTATCTATCTATTTATCTATTTATTTGTAGTGAGTCGGAGGTAAAAGAAGAATGTTTAGCTAATGAAAAGTTCCTATATCTATCTTTTTAAGAAGTATGTGAAGATATTGATAGAAAAACAAAACAAGCAAATGTTGATCAATCAGGGTGTAGTCTCTTTGCTCAGTTGGAATTTTTTTTAACTTGCCTCAGTTTTCTCACCAGTTTGTACTTAAAACAGTGGCATCTATAATAATAAAAGCATAATATGCAAATAGACCAAACAGTTGAACAGCGGAACGACCATCTGGACAACCATCCAAACGACCACACTATGACACCCACTGGTGCCAGGCCAGCCAAGATAGATGTGATGCGATTGGTCAGGGGCCCAGCCATTGCCCCATGATCGCCCTGCATAGGGAGGCTCAGGCCACCGGCCGGAGGGGCAATTAATCAATTGGGGGGCTCCAGGATTGCCCCAAAGAGGGAGGCCCAGGCCACTGACTGGTGGGCTGTAGTGGGTGGTTGGGGCCTCCCTCTGCAGGGGCGATCCATTGTGGAGCCCCAGCCGGGTGGGTGGAGCCTACCTCTTTGGAGTGATCAATCGCAGGGCTCCCAGACTGTGAGACTGCGCAGACTGGGTTGAGGGACCGCTCCTCCGCCCCAGTGCATGAATTTTGTGCACTGGGCCTCTAGTTTTATAATAGTGGTGTGTAGTAAAGATACCCTGAATGTCACTAACACTGAAATCTCACCATTCACTAAGCATATGTGACAACTTGTAATCCTGCATGATGGATAGTTATGATTGTGAGATTATTTAATCAGATAAATAAGCCTCCAAAGATTGTAGGAAGCAGCTAACAACAAATACATTTTCTTGCTAGATCACTATATGATTGGTAGCTTACATATACACTTTATCACCCAGAGTTTTTACATTATCAAGAATTCTTTGAGCCCCATGGGTGTGGCTCAGTGGTTGAGGGTTGATCTATGAACTAGGAGGTCATGGTTTGATTCCCAGCCAGGGAACATGCCCTGCTTGCAAGCTCGATCCCCAGTGTAGGGCATGCAGGAGGCAGCCGATCAATGATTCTCTGTCATCATTGATGTTTCAGTCTCTCTTTCCCTCTTCCTTCCTCTCTGAAATCAATAAAAATACTTTTTTTTAAAAAAAGAACACTGCCATAAACTCAGAATTGCACTTTGAAAGCTGATTTAAACTTTCTTAATTATATTAATGACATGATAAATCCTTCCTTATGAATTGATCATGCTTTGGAATTGACTTGGATTTTATCTGTATTGAAAATGGTTTGGCACTCAGCTCACAA